AAACAAAGACAAGTTGCTGGAAAAGTTCAGCAGGCCCAGCAGCATCTGTGAAGAGAAATCAGAGTTAATGTTTCAGGTCCAGTGACCCTTCATCAGAACAGAGATAGGGAACGTCATATTAAAAGGATTTCTCTGTTAAGTAAGGAGACCTCTGGTGCTAATGAAGGCTCTGATATAGAAAATTGTAGTTGTGATCTATTGTATAGTAAGGAAAGGTTTAACATTAAATAAAGAAACTGCAAATGCTAGAAATCTGAAGCAAAGGCTGAAATGGCTGGAGAAACTCAGCAGGTCTGGCAGTATCTGTGAACAGAAAGCAGAGTTAACATGTTGAGTCCACAATACTTCTAGTCCTGGCCAACCCAAATATGGAGGCAACAATGTGATAATGATAATGCATGTTGATCAGTTGGGATATTGGGCTGAGGAGTGGCAGATGGAGCTTAATTTGGATAAATGTGAGACATTAAATTTTGGTAAAACAAACAAGGGACAGCACTTATACAATTAATAGTAGAGCCCTGGGTAGTATTATAGAACAGAGAGACCTAAGGGTTCAGGTACATAATTCTTTGAAATTTGTATCATAGGGAGATAGAGTGGTTAAGAAGAGATTCAGCACGCTTGCCTTCATTGCTCAAACCTTTGAGTATTGCAGTTGGGATATCATGTTTATGTTGTGCAGTACGTTGGTGAGGCCTTTTCTGGATGACTGTGTTCAGTTCTGGTTGCCTTGTTACAGGAAGGATATTATTATATAGGAGAGGTGTTCAGAAAAGATTTACCAGGATGTTGCTGGAATGGCAGGTTTGAGTTATAAAAATAGGTTGGATAGGCTGGACTTTTATCACTGGAGTGTAGGAGGTTGAGGGTGACCTCATAGAAGTTTATAAGATCATGAGGGGCATAGATAAGGTGAATAGCAAGTGTCTTTTCCCTAAGGTGTGGGAGTTCAAAACTAGGGCGGATATTTTTAAGGTGAGAGGAGAAAGATTTAAAAAGGAAATGAGAGGCAACTTTTTTACACAGAGTGGTTGATGTGTGGAATGAACTGCCAGAGGAAATGGTGGATGAAGCTACACTTGCAACTTTTAAAAGATATTTGGATAAGTGCAAAAATAGGAAAGATTTGGAGGGATATGGGCCAAGTGCAGGCAGGTGGGACTGGTTTAATTTGGGAACATGATCAGCATGGACTTGTTGGAGCGAAGGGTCTATTTCTGTGCTGTATGACTCTACGACTGTATGTTTATTTGCTTTCATTTGCCTTGAAAACTGCCCTTTTAATTCCAGACAGTACATTATTGCCACATGGGTCACAAGTGGCCTTTTCTTAGATACTGGCTTATGTCCAAAAGTTAGTCAAGGGATAGTTACTAACCAGGAAGCTTCTTCACAATGCAACTTCCTTGACAGTCACTAATGCAAAAATAAGTTTGGCCCCTCATCCCAATAAAGCAGCCCTGAAGAAGGGTAATACTTGAAATATTAACTTCTCCTTTCCTCCAGATGCTGCCTGGCTTGTTGCGTTCTTCCAGCCTCCTGTTTGTCTAAAGCAGTGACTCGTCTGGATTTATTTCAGAATCCATGACCTGCTGGCTTCACATCAGGGCCTGCTTATCCTCAGTCCCCTGCCCACATCACCATTCCATGCAGACACAGGTGATGTAATATCAACCCCCTTACTTCCCCTTTCCTCACCAATCAATCAAGTCAAACAGAGATTTAGTTCAGTCTCTTGTATTCGCTCGGAGATAGTAAGAATTGCTGATGCTGGAGGCAGAGTCAATACAGTGTGAAGCTGGAGGATCACAGCAGATCAGGCAGCATCAGAGGAGCAGGAGAGTTTCAGACTAGACCCTTCATCCTCTGATGCTGCCTGACCTGCTATGTTCCTCCAGCTCTGCACTGTATTGACTCTTGTATTTGCTGTTCACAATATGCCCTCCTCTACACTGGCTGCTTTGTGGAAAATCTCTGTCCACAAACATGATCCTGACTTTCTGAAAGCCCGTCATTTTAATTCACCACCTCTCTCTCCCACTGAAAGCTTTGTCCTGGGACTGCTGCACTGTTCCAGTCAAGCTCAATTTGAAGAACAGCACCTTATCTTTCAATTAGGGACTCCCTAGCTCTGAGTTCAACAACTTCAGCCTTAAATGTTGCCCCCATATTTTGTTTGTTTCCTTTACGTTTTGGTTTTTCACTTATTTCACTTTCAGACAGCAGCAAACTCAATCTGAGCACATATTTTGCTTCTTTTCCTGCCCCAACACCACTCCCTCTGGCCCTGCAAAATTAATTCTTGGAGACTGGGATCCAAGAGAGAATTGGAGGACTGTGTAGGGGTTGGGAGAAAGCCAAGGTGGTGTGGGGTGGGGAGAACTGGATCTTACTGGGTCTTTACTGACTCTGAACCCTGTTTCAATGTCATACTGGCTCTGTGCACATATCCAACTCTCTACCAGCACACACTGTCTGCTACTTTCAAGCTAATTTTGCATCCAATTGGCTAGCTCTCCCTGGATCCCACGTGATCTAACCTTACTAACCAAACTAACATGCAGAAGCTTTGCTGAAATTTGGATTCAATAAAAATCTGGAACTAAAGGCCAGCCTAATTATGACCATGAAATTACTGTTGATTGTTGTAAAAACCCATCTGGTTCACTTGTGTCCTTTGGGAAGGATATCTGCTATCCTGACATGATCTGGCCTATATGTGACTCCAGACCCACAATAATGTGTTTGACTCTTAACTGTCCCCTTAAATGGTCCAGCAAGCTTTCAGTTGTATCAAACCCATATGAAGTCTAACCAAATACATTAAAATTTTATGTGGTGTTTTATGGAGATAGCATGAGCAATGGTTGCAATGGATACTTTATACTTCCAGGCAGTTATCTATTCCATGCCCTGGGACTAATGTTGGATTGTCATGATCTTGAATGCTCTTGTACATGGAGATGTTAATGTGTGATCCTAAGTCAGGGTCATTCCATTTGTACATGAGATACATTTTATTCTCTGAATACCACTGCATTACTGTAGAGAGCCTCAGCATGCAATGTCATTACAATCAATATTCCTCTGAACCCTAGCAGATCATGCAACTTGGCTGCTGTTGAGATTGAGTTCCAAAGTTCATGTATTTAGCATGAATGAGTAGCACATCAGTCACCTTTTGAAGACCTTCACAGACTGAGTCATGGTTCATATTGTGATGCCCTCTGTTCATATCTGAAAGTTACACGTACCATCAAACTGGAGAAGCTGACTGTCACACAATGGCAGGTGTTACCCCAAGGCCATTTGCCACATCACAGTAACCAACTGAGAGAAGAACCTCACACAAATTCTGTCTGAGGGACAGGAAGCTGCACCATGCCCTATGCACATGATCTCAAGAGAACTGTGGGGACTGGCTGTTGTTCTTAATTGTTCAGGTGGCTGGAATTGGAAATTCTACTCTCCTCAGAAATGATGCAGGAATACAGATTGGAGTTGGAAAACTCCCAGTGTATTTGTTAGTTTGGTTACATGATAAAGCCAGCCTAGTTCAGGAGAATGAGCACCTAATGGGATAGAACATACATTAACACTGAGTGCCACTTAGATAACTATTAAGGATTTCTTGTGCATTTTCTTAATCTACTTTTCAACTATATGCACATAGACCTCTTCTGTGATTGACTTAACTGAGTCCCAGAGCAATACTGTATTTGAGAGATTGAGTCGACTGGGACTATAATCATTGGCATTTAGAAGAATGAGGGGGATCTTATAGAAACATATAAAATTATGAAGGGCATCGATAAGATAGAAGCATGGAGGTTGTTTTCACTAATGGGTGAAACTAGAACTAGGGGACATAGCCTCAAAATAATAGGGAAGCAGATGTAGGACGGAGTTGAGGAGGAACTTCTTCACCCAACGGGTTGTGAATCTGTGCAATTCCCTGCCCAGTGAAGCAGTTGAGGCTACCTCATTGAATGTTTTTAAGGCAAAGATAGATAGATTTTTGAACGGTAGAAAGATTAAGGGTTATGGTGAGCAGGTGGAGCTGAGACCACAAAAACATCAGCCCTGATCTTACTAAATGGTGGAGCAGGCCTGGTGGGCCAAAAAACCTACTCCTGCTCCTATTTCTGATTTAACTGCAAACTGCAAACTGAACATCACACTCAGCAGATTGCAGAAGCTGGTAGTTAGCAACACAGCTGATGGCATAAACCATGTGTTAATCTTATTGCTCTCATTAAACTTAACTGCACAATTTAATCTCCCCGATAAAAGCACAATACCATGGATACTGAAAATCTGACACATGTGCAGAGAGTGCTGGAGAAACTCAGCATGTCTGGCAGCTTCTGTGGACACAGAACCAGATTTAACATTCAAATCAAACATAACTCTTCTTCAGAACCTTTTTAGCACATTCTCAAGTGAAGTATTAAGATGCAAATTCTATTAAATAAAATTTTGTTACGTTCACTAATATTTCTGATAAATAAAACTAACAGTGGTAAATTTCTCCTAAAGGTGCAAGGGATTAATAAAACCTTATTGATACAACAAGAAGTTATTTTGCCCAAACTGACCATTATTGTTTTCTGAGCTAAGTGTTTGTTTTAAATCTGAGATAGATTTTTTTTGTTAGGTAAAGGTATTAATGAATATGTGCTTAAGGCAAGGTTGTAGAGTTAGGCCACAGATCAGCAGGCTGCAAGGGCTGAATGGCCTATTCCTATTGCCATGAAAGTTTTTTCCGTCTGTTTACTCCCGATCACACGGACTTATCAGGCTGCCTTTGAAATGAGTAACGCCAAAACAAAACAATGAACATTGCTCTGCCAGACACAAACTCTGTCTTTTTTAAACACATCTTATAATAGCTACATTTTATTTGGCATTATACAAAAGGTTTATGATATAAACATTATGCACCTATACACTGCTGAATACAAAATAAAAACTTTCTTTATAAGTTATAACCTCAAAAGTCTACATTTGCAAGTTAAGTCATTAAAACGTTTGCAAACTTTCAATTAAAATCTAATCAAACTATAGGTATAAGTCATTCATAATAATCTTGTAATAAAATATTCACACAACTTGTCATTTGTACAAAAAGCAAACTGTATACAGATTACTGAAGCTGCGCAGACACAGCATCTCGGGCGTAGAAACAACTTTGTATTTTCCTCTCTTCCTTCGCGAATATCGAAAGTGTCCGTTCGCAAAGTGAGCTGGAGGAGACGGGTGTTTACGAGACGGTTATTTCCTCCTCTTTGTCCTCCTCCTCTTCCTCTGAGAAGTACGTATGGGGGTCAGTGCGCTGGTGTGATAAGAGGCGAAGGTGTGTGTCTATGTTATCCTTGTACCCTGGCGAGTGGCATATGGAAGATTTAGGACTGTCTCTGTAGCTCGTCTCCTCTTCGTCCCCGGACAGGTGCCCGCAAGGTGACTTCTTACCCACGTCGCTGAGGTCAGGGTGAGGGTTTAACTTTGTGGGCAAAGTTTGCTCTCGGCAGCCCCCAGCAGACAACAGCTCCCTTTCTTTTGAATTTCTCCACTTCATTCGTCTATTCTGGAACCAAATCTTCACCTGTTCAGGAAAATCGAAACAGAAAACAACCATGATAATAAATTTAGATGAATATTCTCCTCGGAGGGAAACGGGTGGACGAAATGTCGATTGGAAAGTTACCTGGGAGTCTTTCAGTCCCAATTTCGCTGCCAGTTTGCGCCTGTCGGGTTTGCTGATATACTTCTGTTTCTGGAACATCTTTTCCAAAGCTTTCCGTTGTACATCTGAGAAAACAGCCCGACGTAGCATCCCTCTCCTGGGCTTGCCCCGGGTGGCCAGGGACCAAGAGAAGGTCCCAGGGATAGGCACCACTGAGGAAGAGACTGTGAAGAAACATTGCCATCAATACTTTGGGAAAGAAGGGTTGAAAAACATCAGGCAACCTGGGGAGACCTCTCAGGAACATGGGAATAGGAGGAAGCCATTCAGCTATTCGACTCTGTTACATCATTTAACGAGATATGGTCTAACCCCATATACCCGCCTTTAGCCCATATCCCTGTTCTGAACAAAGGTCACCGAACTCAAACGTTAACTCTGCTTTTAAACTGCCAAATGTGCTTTTAACTCCTGCAATACATGTTTTTGTCTCTTCACACCTTTGTTTAGCAAAAATATCTCAGGTTTAAAATTAACAACCTAACATCAATTGCCATTTACGGACTAGAGTTCCAAACATCTCCCATCCCTTGTGTGTAGCAGCGCTTCCTATTGACTCTCTTGGATGGTCTGGGTCAAAATCCTGGAATTCCTTCCCTAAGGGCATTGTGGGTCAACCTACAGCTCATGGACTGCAGCGGTTCAAGAAGGCAGCTCACCTCCACCTTCTCAAGGGCAATTAGGGACAGGCAATAAATGCTGGCCCAGCCACTGACGCCCACGAATGAATAAAAATAGTTCTCAGACTGTACCCCCAATTCCAGAATTCCCAACTAGTGGAAATAGTTTATCTTTATCTACCCTGTCTTTTCCTGTTAATATCTTGAAAACTTTGATTAGAACACCCTTTAAATTCTAGAGATAACGGGGTGAAATACTAGATGCCAATATGAGCTATAATTACACTAAAAATTAGCTTTGTACAGTAAGTGAAAGTAGAGTAGAGAAAGCGGTTTTGCTCATTAAGCAGATTAGTCCCACTTTAACAAAAACAGAATTTTCTGGAGAAACTCAGCAGGTCTAGCTGCATCTGTGGAGACAGAAACAGAGTGAACATTCCAAGTCCGGTGACCCTTAACGTTAGCCCTGTTTTCTCTCTACGGACGCTACCATACCTGCTGAGTTTCTCCAGAAAATTCTGTTTTTATTAAAGTGGGACTAATCAGTTTCTTCAGCAATTTCCGTTTTGGTTTGTTTCAGATTTCAATTCCTTGTTTTATTTAAAATTCAACTTTATTCTGGCTCTGCATAATTCCAAACTCATTCACATCACTACGAATCTCAAACTCAGCTTTGAAGTGTTTGTTGGGAAAGTATTGGCTCGCGTTTTGTGTGAATCGGGCTCGTCATGAACACTTTCGCTGGTTTCAAATGGTTTTGGTTAGTGATTTTGAAAATAAAAGAGAGTGTTTCTTTTCCTGACCGACAACAGCAGCCAGGAATTCTAATGAAGCGTGAATGGCAATTGTCCAATAATGAACTGCCATGGCAGAAAAAGACTGAGGACTGACCGCTAAAACCATAGCTTAATAGCACAATAAAAAAAAACAATTCACACTTTCACAGAAGTGCATCATCGCTCGGAAAACTGATGACTGCAGGCTTTTTATTCCTCCCTCTTAAAAAATGTTCATTAAATGGGGATTGAAAATTCTTGTTGAAACAATTCTCCAAGTTGTTTTTTTGTCGTTGTTGAAACGTTTGTGAAGAAAAGGCGTCAAAAGTCTGGAAGAGCCTCGGCTATGTCCCTGTTTGAGATGTCAGTCTCTTGTGGAACCTGTCACCGACTGGCGACGCCAATTTCATATATTTTTGCTATTTTTTTGTTGAAAATGGAATGACCATATCAGATGCTGAACATTTGATTTTTGTTTTAAGCTTTTATTGTCACGTGTACTCAAGTACAGGAGTACAGTGAAAAGTGGAAATTTCCTCAGGGAATTCCAATTTAAGGAATAACATAAACATAGCACAAGTGCAAGAGTTGCAACTTTAAGTCCAGGATCCAAATAAAATGTAACATGACTTAGATCGTGTGAGAAACCAGTCTCAATCTGTCAATATGCTCGCTGTACATTAAATAGCCAATCTCAAATGCCAATTAATGTTTGATGTTGTCAGTTAGTCTAAATATGAACTAGTTCAGCAGAAACATTCCCTCTGCATTTGGATTCTGTTCAGTCCTCTGTGCCAATGAATTGAATCATTTGCTAGTTCACAGGAATCTCTTATGGTAATGACAACCTGGCACTGTCCATTTTTATTTTGAAAAGGACCTTTTGCAGAGCGCTGGGGTTTTTGGAGAGTTTGGAGGTTGTGTGTTTGTGTTGAGGGTGGAGGTGGGGGGAAGGGGTGTCACCTCTGGTGCTAAGACTGCGTGTGGTTGCTCCAAATGAAGCGGAGATTGGTCATGGGTCTCAGAGCGTTGTTAGGAATCATTTGTGAGCTGTAGCGCTCTGTGGGAAAACTGCCGCCGTGAAGAGAAGCCAACAGGCGCTTCTGAGAACGGACCCGCCTCGAACTTAGTGCATGACAATTCCTGCTAATTTGTAGATCATGGATTGAGTGCAGAGTGTCAACCGTCACTGCGTGTGCTAAATAGAGCGTCAAATAACCGAGACTGATTTCTAACCGTTGTACTTTTAACAACCTCTGAACTGCACTCCTACCCCCCAGGGACGGCCTGCGAAATATCGATTAGGGATGCGTGAAAGGACGGGGCAGGGCTGGGGAGGTGCAGGATGCTAGAAACCTACCTGGCAAGTATGAGGAACGGAGAAAGGGCTGGAAAGTGCCTTCAAAGTAAGGGAAGGACAATGTCTTCGGCCTCGAAAGTCCCTGCATCAGCGGATGGGGCGTTTCTGTAAGAGAATACACAGGGTGGAGAGTCAGATTGCGAGAAAAAAGAACATGTTCCTATTCGAGCTGCTCAGATGTGTTCTTAGACATCCTGCAGTAGGTGGGATTTAAACAGGCCTGCTTGTTTTTACATTCAAGAGGCAACATTACACAACTAGGCATCGGGGAGAACAACCCACGACCTTATAACACAGTTAAGATTAAAGAGGTATCTGATGACCAGCACGGACGCAATGGGCCAAAAGGCTTACTCCGTTGTGAAAAACTCTATATTTTTAATCAACACTTTGTGACAGGTGAGCAGGGCCTTCTAGTCCTGAGTTAGAAATACTACCACCAAGCCACAAGACCCTTAAAATCACGGATGAAATTCATTAGGGAATTTGGTCCCATATTTAAGCACACTTTGACCATCTTCGACCGTATATGGAAAACTTGCGCCGTCATTTAGATCACTCTGCATTCAGTTTAGATAATCTTAAATGCACTGAAGTAACAATGTGCTGTAATTATTAATTCGTCTGCTATTTTATTGTGACAACTGTCTACTGCATTCAGATATCCTCAGGTATTGCGATCACAAGAAACAATATTACAATACTGACAGGGTTTGGTGAAGAGGCAGTTCTGAACGAGGAGCTTAGGAATAAGGTGCATAAAATAATTAATTCACTTTACCTTATTCACAAATTCGGACATGCATTTCGGGAACATTACTCATGTTTTTAAAAAGTACATGACCACAACAGCTAAAAAGAAACTAGCACAGAAATTCATCTTTAATTAAAACTGTAATTAGAATAATCAATTACTTTGCGATGGTTTTGCTTTGAATTTACTCCTAAAATATTCCAGAAACAATACTTGCTATCAATCAGGAGTGGGAAAATTTGGAGTTTAAATTTCAGCTACAAGTACGTTAGTTGTATTTAGCGGATGAAGGACTGACAGTGAAAGAAGGGACCACTCACCGGTTCTTGGGGTTGAGGAAAGGATAGCGTGAACACCGAACTTGAGGTGACTAGAATCGTTTCTGGGAGAGACAGCGGGATGCGGGGAGCAGCTTCCAGCAGGTACCGAGCTGCCCATGCTGACCTGTTCCGCTGACACCGGGCTGGCGTTCCCCGGGAGGCTGTGGGAAACAGAGCGGGGCAGGTAGCCGGTTGGCCGACTGATCCTCAGCAGGTCTTCCACCAGGAAACTGGCCCCGACTGCATGCGAGGAGAAGGCGGACTGTAGAGTCTGGGGCAGAGTCAGGGTTGGGGTCGGCCGCAGCAGACCCGGATACATAGCTGAAGGGGCAATGACACTGGGGAACATCATTTCTGAAGCAGTACAGGAGAGAGAAAGAGAGAGAGAGGAAGAGAGGATGGGGGGAATGAAGAGGGAGGGGGTAAGTGAGAGATGAAAAACTTCCAATCAGTCCTGTTCGTCAAAGAGCTTTTTTCAAAAAAAAACGTTGCTATTACTAGGGTCCAACTAGAACTGTCCACTGTTCTATCATCTCCTCCTTGTGCCTGGGCTGTTATATAGTGGACAGACGGGTTAAATCCGTTCAGATGTGCAGCACAGACACAGCACTCAACAGAGGTCCCCATATGAGCTTTTCTTACCCCGCGTTCCTAGCTCACCCATTGGCTCCTTCGGCCAATTTAGGATTGGATTAGACTTCATAAGCAAGCAATCACAATGAACCTTCAACAAAGAAAGTGGTGGCCATTAATTCTGAATACTGACCGCTTCTTTTGAATAGCCCGCTGAAGGATTTGAGTGGGTTTTGTTTGGGTGCGATGCACACAGGCTAATTAAAAGACAATTCTCCAAGTTCCCAATGACATTTTCCTCGTTTGAAAAGAATTATGAAAAGAAAGCACTAAATTTATTTGCTCGCCCCGCTGTGCCTACAAAACTGGCCAATAAATATTCACATCTCCCTCACACCATAATCTCCTTGTGAAAATTGCTTAGGTCTGGCCAGAGAGAGACGTTTCAACTGCGGACTGTTCTTAAATCATAAAGCAAGTTACTTCTGAGTGTATATATACGAAATTTAGGGGGGAAAGATCACTAACTAAACCAAAATGCAATTAAATAAAGCTGGGATGGTCTAACCTTGAACAATCCAACTGTTAAAATTATATCAGAAATGCATCTTGTTTGTCATGCTGCACTTTACAAGTAAGTGAATCAGTTAATTTAGAGTAATACAGATGATCTCAAAAGCAACATTTAGGACGCACTCGGACGTGGGAGAAGATACTATTTGAAATTGTGACAATTTCTTTGCCAGACTTTTCAACTCAAACGCTGAAACTTTAACGCGAACGCCTTGCCACACAAAACACAGATTTTTGATACAATGCACTCTATTAAAAAAGTGTTAACTTGCAACATATGGTGGAGGGGGGGACAATGCTTAGTGTGTCTTCTGTGTTTAAAGACATTTGAATAAACAGTTAATACGTTTTAGAACGGCGCGCAGTCTTTCTCAAGAACAAAACCCTATAATCCATGATTCCAAAATCGATCAAATTGCTCCCCAGCTCTCTAACAGATGTGCAGAATATTATATTCGAGGAAAGAAGTCCCTTAATCTTCTAATATGCAATGAAAGTGGGCAACTGACACATTATCCCATTAACCGCGTTAACTGCATCAACCATCAGCTGTTTTCTCCCCTTATTTACTTAACACAATGCTTCCAAAAAATCGTATTAGCCGACTTTCAGCAGCTTTATTTCTGCAGAAAATACGTTCCTTTTCCCCTCCTGTCTCGCTGCCCAGTATCCTGCCTCAGCTGTAGGTGATCCGCAAGTTTCTTCCCTGACCTGACTGCAGACAAAAAACAAGGACTTGCGAGGTTTAACCCCTCGCACCCGGAGAAATAAAAACTGCGGCTGAACTTCAGCCGTGGAACCCCGAGGAGCTACTAATTTATTTTGAAACGCGAAAGTAATTTATAAGCTCCCTGCAACCACGTTACCGACCGACAATTCCGTTATGAGTTGGATAGTGTTTAAACCGAAGGCGAGCGTTTATACACTTATAGCATTGCTGTCACGCCCTGCAAACCATGTACCGGGCAAAAGCCTCACTGCAACTCAAGGTCGGGTTGATTACGAATGAAACACTGTGGCTGTGATCTGAAAATTATACGAGGTGGAGAAACCATTTTCAACACTCTAAGTTGATTGTGGATTTTCTACTATACGAAATTAGGTCCTCCAATTGGGTATTGTGACCGGAGAATTTAGGTCCGTTTTGCTAAACAAGGAAGTGGGGGTGACGGGGTGCGGTTTAAGAAAAACTGACGTTCACTCGTTAAATAGCACGGGCGTTAATTATCTGGGATAGTTCATGCGTACGAATCATCTTATGTTATAACCCTGACTCCGTTACTTCAATAGACACTTCTCAAAACAGTGTCAGGAAATCGCTGAAGAACCTTGAGGGTCTGTATTGGTTAAATTAATCGCAGTGCCCTTTACTGAAAGATTGAGGGCTCGAGTGGTGCAGTGGTAGTGTCCCTATCTTTGAGCCAGGAGGCCGGCGTTCGAGTCCCATCATCTCCAGAGAGATGTTGTTTCCGTCTGTATGACTCTATAAAATATCGATAATGAAGGATCTTGCTCACTCCCCATGCTGCATTCCCTTCTGAGTCCTGCCAGGTATAAGCTGCATTAGCGAATAAGCATTAAAGAGGCTACTGAAATATGGCGTTCACTCTGGAAATGACTTTATACTGAGTTAAACACATCTCGAGTTTGTAATCGAGTTTTAAAAGCTCTGCTATTTTTACTCAGTGCGAAGTGTGATCAGAAATTCTGAGGCTTCCTACAGAGTGGAGAAATCATTTTTCAACACTTTAAAATATATATGCGAATGTAGGAGAGGGAAAGAGTGAGAATAGGGTTAATTTTTCCCAAATCCACCAACATTGTTTAAGAACGATAAACATTTGAACCGGCCACTTTACTGTCAGCGATTCCATGACAACTTTCTGATAAAACTGGGTCGAACTGAAAAAAGTTTCTGGCGAGCTCATTCTAAAATGTTTCCGTAAGCAAACGATCTCGGATCTGGGCGATAATATTCCAGACAGTTAAAATATGATTGAGTCCAAATAATTTTAAAATCCTGAAACGCGAACGGTAGACCAGGAGAGGACAGTAATAAGAGACTACGACGGGGTTTTACTGAAGCAGTGGTAGTGACACTACTTCTGAGTCAGGAGGACCAGGTTACAGTTCCAGTTGGTTCAGAGTTGACTGGTAACCCCTCTCAATAGGTTGATTGGATCTTGTTTTTTTTAAGAAAAAGGACATAAAAGTGGCCCTTTTGATGCAGCAGTAATGTCCCTAACTCTGAGCCAGGAGGCCAGGGTTTGAATCTCACCTGCATCAGAAGTGTGATCTCTGAATAGGTTGTTTAACAAAAAAAGCAATATAATCGAATCTTATATAATATTATCAGATACTCAACTGGAGACCAAAAAAAAAAGTCCCCTTGATTAACTGGAAAGGCAATGTCCGTTTAAGATTAGCACCTTTACATCTGTTGGCTGGTAATTTTGTTTTGGCTGATGATGAGGTGTCTTGGCTTGGATCTACTCCGCATGATATCTATAAATTGGGCCGTTGTGCCGGTGTATGGGACAACTGCTGGCACTCTTTCATGCCAGTAAATCAGGATAACGACATAGACAGGGAGGTGGGTCAAACCCATGCTGGGGCACACGTGTATGTGGCCGTTTTCAGTAAGACCTGTGCCGCACTCTTGACACAGCTTGCAAAAAGCAACAAGGACAAAAGAGAGAGAGAAAAAATCTGAATCCGCTGAGAGAGGGAGAGAGAAAAGGGAACCTAAGCAAGCATTCATAGCAAAATAAAAGCAATAAGCAGCAATGAAATTTGACTGAGAGATTTATTTTCGACAGATTTTTGAAAGTTTCCTTTAGAAGTCACTGGTTCCTGGTAAGAGCTGTGACGAATGTTGTTTGACCTATGTTCGTCTTTTTGTACTCTCTGCCATTCATGTTGACGCGAGTTATCTCCATTTTTTTTTAAAAAGAAAAAGTCACTCGGTTTCTTTGTTAGTCTGAGCAGGGATCTTTTTTTTAAATAAGAGGAGTTTACGGAAGAGACGTTTTTCTTCCTTCAGCGTGTGATTCAGAATTCCAGTCCAAAAGCGTTAATCTCCATGAAATTATCCAGCAGGAGTATGGTGGAAGCTATAAACTGGTACCGGCTACTTACACACACACACACATAGAGTAAACGTTCTTTGAAGACACATCATTCACCGAATGCACTTAAATGTCATCATTTTAATAATATATCACTCCTGAAAGGAGGCGTGTCCCAGCTGTGAGATGAAAAGTATATTAGAACGGGAGTCTCCCTGAGTTTAGCATTAGTGTGCAGCTTTGGAATCCGCATTATAGGAAGGGGTGTTTGCACAGGAAAGGGAGAAGAGCAGATTTACCAGGATGTTGCCTGGACTGGAGAGTTTCAGTTGTGAAGAGAGATTGAACAGTCTGGTCTGAAAATAAACAAATGCTGGTGATCACAGTGGGACAGGCAGCATCAACGGAGAGAGAGCAAGCTAACGGTTCTAGTCTAGATGACTCATTCCAGATTCCAGCCTCTGCAGTAATTTGCTCCTATTTGGACAGACTTGGGGCTGTTTTTCTTAGAACAGAGGAGATCGAGAGGGGACATGATTGAGATATATAAAATTATGAGGGGCATAGATAGGGGAGACAGGAAGGATTTTTCCCCTTGATGGAAAGGGACATAGATTTAAAGAAAGGGGCAGGAGGTTTAGAAGAGCTGTAAGGATAAACTTTTTCACCCAGAGAGTGGCGGGAATCTGGCACTCACTGGCAGTCAGGGCGGTAGAGGTAGAAACCCTCGTAACATTGAAGAAATATTCCTTGTATATGCACCTGTAATGCCAGGATATGCAACACTATAGGCCAAGTGTTGGAAAATGGGATTGGAAAAAAAATGTGGTTGTTTTTGACCAGTGCAGACTTCATCGCCAAAGATCCTTTCTTTTCTGTTCTGTAGACCTCTCTGGCTCTTAAGAGGGATGTGTTCCCTTCTGGTAAGGACGCTCAAGACTGTTATCTCTTAGCAGGAACTTCGACTCACGCGAACTTTATTGGATACCAGGACCAAACAAGATCATTCCACAACTGATGTCGACCCAAATTGTCACAGTGTTTACAAAACGCTGTTCACTATTCAGAATTGAATTGGGTTTAACTTAATTGAATTGGTTTTATTAGTGAAAGGGGTGAATTTATTCCAGTTTTGAGT